ATATATATATATATATATATATATATAAAGTTTTACATTGAAAATTTAGGTCGTACCCGCCAATTCAAACAACTTCCTTTTAACCTTTTAAACCTATTAGAGGTGATGAGCGGGAACTTTTGCGACAAAATAATAAAAATGAGGAGCATATAAATCAATAAAATATCGACGAGGCTAGTTTAATTCGTGTTATAGGAAAATATCTTATCAGATCACTACCACTACGCCAGTATTTTGTGCATTATAAACTCATCCACTGTCCACAGCAGAAACGTGACAGGGTGTATTCGGTTATTCTCCACGCCAAATGCGGACGCACTTCCGATTCTCTTACACACTATTCGTAGCATTACATCAGATTGGCTAACATGAATTGTCATTGGTTTTGTGAACGTATAAATGGCTATTTTTTCAATATTCTGTTGACTGAGATGATCTTTACACGTGTCTACATCTCTTTGGCAATAAGGTGCAAGCTTCTTGCTTTAAATAGTATTAAACAACTCTCAATTGCGAAATCAATACAACTAAGCTATACTTCCTTATTTTCACGACTAAGAATTTAATCTTCCGCATGCCTTCATTCGGATTTTGAACAGTCAAATATTATCTAAATTAATAATTTACTTCTTGATATTAATTTTCAGTTATCAACGCTTTGTCATCTCAGCTCTCTGGTAAACAGTGGTAATGGGAGAAAAATTTTGACAGCAGGAGTTGTATCATCACGATCTTAGGTGCATCGAGCAGTGTGTATGCTCTCAAACACAACTTCGATAGCCGAAGCATGGGCGAGACTGGACCATAAGTTCGATCTGATGTACGCAAAACGTGCCTTTGTACATTGGTATGTTGGCGAAGGTAAGCTTAGTCATTAGTTCTTCACAATCACAAAGCCAATATCTACATCACTTCATCGCAGGTATGGAAGAGGGTGAATTTACTGAAGCGAGAGAGGATTTAGCAGCCTTGGAAAGGGACTACGAGGAGGTATGAGAAGCTGCACTAAGAGAAACAACTGTAAATTGTTTATTTGTAGGTGAGTCGTGATTCTGCCGCTCTCGAAGGGGACGAGTTCTGAACATCATCCAAATGCGTAAATTTCGATACTGTAATAATAATTGAATTATTGTGATTTGACTTATGAAAGGATTAATAGAAAAATTGTAACGAGTTGTACGAGACGCTACACTAGCATTGAACCATTTCGCAGTAAGTAAAGAAGAAGGTTAAGCTAAGGGGAGCACTTGTGTCATTCCGTGTTCGTTAGAACGCGATGGTTTGCACGTGCTGTAATTAACAGAATCATCTAACCAAATATCCGTTACAAGCCCAAATGATATTATGTAAAAAGTAAGCAGGTAGTTAGTGAGTTTCTTGGAAAAGCTTTATTGGGAAAGTATTTGGTTCGATTTTGTGCAGAAGACCTTTTGATGTCATCCTTTAGGACAACTTTGACGCTTCTGTTTGCTCCTTTTCCCGTTATATTTTGAATAAATAAGTACATGTTCAACAATTTTTTTACTTAGATTCTCCTATTATCAAAATATTGTGATGGTTACATACGACTTCAAAATCCGCTATAATCCCTAATAAAGGCTGAACGCACGTGTTGCCCAAACAGTCAAAGTGTCCTATAATGCGCGATATACAAAACTTATGGTACTTCTTCGAACAGAAAAAATCAAAATCAAGGTCAGGTCCCTCCCTCACGTTTGAGGGAAGCCATAGAGTATTTGCAATTACTTCTGCTCTTTAACAAAGTATTTATATTGCCACCTTTATCTTTTTTGAAAGCATCACAGGCTCAAGGAGGTAGTATGCATCGAACTTCTAGGCTTGAATTAATGCGTTGCCTTGCGCATTAGCGTACGTCAACCTACTGGCTGGTAATTTATTCTTCAAAAAGTCCCGGTGACAAGCGATTGTTGCGTTGCGTTCCAAATCTAAAACGCACACACTTTAGGGTGCCCAAAAGGGAAGAGAGAATTAAGGAAAAGAGAAGAGCAGTGAAGAAGCCGCGAAAACCTAGATAGAGATGAGTCTCTTTATATGAGATAGCTATGACTTAGGACTCTGCATATGCCAGATTGCCAGAAAAATACTTAAGCCAAAAAAATGAGCAGTTTTTACCAAACAGCTGAGTTATTTTTAGAAATTACTTCGCACAGGCTTACGGTTATGAAACGCAAACTAGATTAGCTTCTATTAGATGCGTTACTAACTTTTGGAATATACAACTTTTACTTTAGTAAGATGCTTGGGAGTTTTTGGATATCGTCTTGTATCTGTCTTTCAACAAGTATATGCCCCAACCCCAGCCCGGCGGCAGGTCTTTGGAGAGCAAGCTGGGATTCGTTTTGTGAAAAAAGCAAAGGGGAACTAGTATAGGGTTCAAGGTGGAGCCTTGAGTTCATTCTCAAATATGACCGCTCTCTCAACACGAAGTTGAAGCTCCTCTTCTCTCCGTAGCGGAGATGGTCACGCCTAAGTATTCTTGTCTTATTTAATTCCATAAACGCTCTGTGCCCGTTCAGAAACATGCCCCAGTACGGACTTGATGTCAGCGGTCGTTTGGGCGGGAAATTCAAACATGTTCTACAACTTGTATATAAACGGGTTTTTCCAAGCGAATAGGCAATGAACACCCACCAAAATTTTCGTAAAGATGCGAAACAAAGAGTAGAAGAAGTGTGTGAGGAATTTCTCGAATTTCATGAGATATGAATAATAGCTGTACCTTTTTGTGATTTAGGTCTCCGGCAGAGAGCTATGGGAGATCTCAGGTCTCCGATTAGCAACTTTTTTGTTTCTCATAATTTTACATTCCTTATAGCAAACACTTCTTGTGCACCCCTTGATCCAACTTACAGCGTAACAGCACTTTCTCCCTTCCTTGTTAGGGCCCTTAATCGCTCTATCTTGATGAAGAAAACGCGCTCCAAGTAAACAGCACTCCTACTGGCACGCCTTTGTACAGGTTACAAAAAAGGCTTTGTAATTTTCTGGATTTTCATGCGAGCATTCATTGTCGTAATTTCAATCGGAGACTTCGCGCCGAGGCCTGCACAACCCACTTCCTTCCAACCGCCCTCAATGTAATGAAGCATAGGAAGACTCCCGCTTCGGCAGTCACGGGTGGGGATGAGAATACGCCTATTCTTCAATACAAACCTCACGTAGACAAAGATGCTCAGCCAAAGGGATAGTGGATTAATGGAAAGCAGGAAATAAGGAGACGCAGGTGGCGAGAACGGCGTCCAACGACGTGTCCCCCGCGGCGCCCACTCGCCGTTTAGATGTATCAACTTCACGACCAAAGCAAACCTTAGATAAGAGTCCTTTAGGGTCATGTAGTCGGTTTCTCTTGAGCCGACATTCACGGGAAGTGCGAGTGCAGCTGTAATGATTAGAATAATGAAAATACACAATATTGACATACTGACTCCAGCAGAATGATCTAAGCCTGTGAATTT